TCAAGAGGCGGCCGCACGGGCCTCGCAGGCTTTTCAGTCCATGGCGCCCACACCCGCGGAGACTCAATTCCAGGCGTGGGCCAAGTCGGCGCTCGTCGAACCCAGTGCTGGGGATCCCGACGCTCTTCAGAGGTTCAACAAGCTCAAGGGCCAGCTCGAGGAGATGGCCACCGAGCTGGGCTACGCGCTGGTTCCTCCTCCGCCTGTACCTCCTGCTGCTCCTGCCGAACATGTTGGTGGTGTCGGGCCCGCCCAGGGCAAAGGAGGGATCGAGCAGCCTGTGCCCGCCGATATGGACACCGACGCGCTCATCGACGACCCAGTCTTCCTGGACAGCATCGAGACCCAGCACGGTGTCAAGCACGAGGCCGCCGTTGGGATGCTGCAGGCCGCCAAGGGTCACCTCTCTAAGAAGTCCAAGGGCGCAGATGGAGGTGCCCAGCCAGGCTCTGGTTCGGGTGCCCCCTCCACCGCTGGTGGGTAACGCTTTTGTGCTCATCACCTCGAACGTGTCTGGCCTAGCGGGCTTGGATGAGTTATTGTCTGACCCGTCCGTTCGCAAGTGCCAGGCCGTCTGCTTCCAAGAGCATCATCAGATTCCCACCGCCAGCCTCGAACACATATTACGTAATTCAGCATGGAATGCCAAGGTTTCTCCAGCCATCGCATCTTCTTCAGGTAAAGGTTCCTCTGGAGGAGTTGGCATGATGGTGGCTGGGTATGGCATGAGTGAAGTTGAGACGGCCAATACCGATCTTCCACCTGGGCGCATCACCGTGGTTCACGTCGGTGGATTGTGTCCAGGAGGCTCCTTGTGGGTTGGGCTCTATCTCCATCGCAGTGTTGGGCTAGCCGCGGCGAACTGGTACTTGCTGTGTCAAGTTCGCGAAGTCATCAAGTCCTTTTGCATGCCTTTTGTCATCCAAGGCGATTGGCAGGTTCCTCCAGATCAGTTGCACGGAAGTCTTTGGGTTCAAAGCATTGATGCCGTCGTTGCTGCCCCGTCCATCCCCACCTGCTCCTCAGAGAATGGCGGCAGGACGATCGACTACTTTGTGATTCACAACAGCTTGCAGTTCGGGCGCCAAGTCGACGTCCTGAGCCAGGTCGCCACCGAGCCCCACAAACCCGTGAGGCTCAAGCTTCGTTCGTCAAGCAGGGTGCCCCGGGTTGCTCGTCCTCCTCAGCGGCTTCCTTTTCCTCGTCTGAGCCCTGCCGCCGTCTGGTGGCGAAGGGTAGGCCACGCGATTCATTGTCTCTCCCTCTGGCACTCTAGCATGCAGCGCAGCAGCGCTCTTGGTTTCTGCAAGCGACTGTTGCGCGAAGCCAAGCTGCCTCCCCTGGTGAGCGTGATGTTGCACGAGGGAGCTTGGCTTCGCGCGCTGCGCGACGCGCCTGGCCTGTTCTACGGCTTGGCTGCTGCTCTGTCCTCCGCCGCACGCGTCAGGGCTTGCTCTGAGCATCGCAAGGCCTTGTCAGTTAAGTCCTCGGAGTGGCGTCAGTGGGTTCGTGCGCACTCGGTCGATGGCGCTGCCGCTTTGTTTGCTTCGACAAGGCCACGCACTCCTTGGCACGCCGCACCTCGCTTCAGAGTTGATGGCGCGCTTCTCCCCGCCCCTGCCACTCTGCAACAGGAGATGGACATGCTGGCCGATGAACGGTGCAAATGGTGGCGTATAGGCGAGCCTCGCGATGCGCTAGAGTGGCCCAGAGACCTAGGCCCCCTTTTTCCCAGCGCCCTCTGTTGAGGAGATGCGCAAGGTCCTCCGCTCCTTTCCTCCTCGGACTGGGCGCGGGCTCGATGCGCTCACGCCTCGCCAGTTGGACCACTTGCCAGATGAGGCCATCGAGGTTCTCATCCAGCTTGCGATGGATATCGAAGCCACATGCGAGCGGCCCCTCGTCCACACGAAGATTGACGTCCTTTTGAGAAGGACGGAGGGTCTGAGACCAATTGGGCTGCTTTTTTTGCGCTGTCAGAATTCAGGGGCGCCTCCGACGTTACCTGGTGCGCTCCTGGCAAGAAAAGAACTTCAGGTCCTTCTGGTGGGCCGCGGCTGGGCGAGGCTCGGATAGACTGGTGCAGGCCCAGTCGGCCATGACGGAATGGTGCCAGGGGCGCGGCTTCTCGAGCGCTCTCGATCTGCTCGATCTCGAAAAAGCGTTCGAACAGATCACCCATCACAGGCTCTTGCAGGCCGCCGTGGCCACGCAATTTCCACTTCGGCTGCTGAAGCTGCCCATCAGGTTGCATCGAGCCCCTCGTATCTTGGATCTCGACGGTCGAGCCTCGCAGGTCATCAACTCGCTGCAGTCTGTCATCCCTGGCTGCCACTTTGTCACGCTTATGTTACAGCTCGCCCTGCTTCAGCCGCTCGACGCGGTCGCCTCGGATTTTCGCACTGTGTACTTAAGCGTGGTCGTCGACGATTTCGGACTCCACGCCTACGGGCAAGAGCCACATGTGCTGGCCAATATCACGCGCGCCACTCAGAGGCTGCATCATGAGCTCGAATGCGTGGATTTACGCATCAAGCAGAGCAAGAGTAGAGTCGTCGCTTCCCTCCCCGACCTCCTCGC